GATAAAGACATAAAGACACTGCCGATGACGAACGACGCGACCCGACACAGGTGCAACGTCTTTTTTTATTGCATGGACATAAAGCTTTTTCAGACCGGCGCTGATAAGAGTGACTCCCTGTAGATAGCACGACAAGGCGCGACTTGTGCGAGAAAGCGACATAAATCGCGAGATACTGCAATTTTCTATGCGAGAATAACAGTTTGTCGCGCTTTATGTTTAAGCAGTCGAGAACATGATTTACTATCATGTGCGTAGCCTATAAGTGTAAAAACCTAATTTTGATTTGAAACATCCTCGGAAGTCTCGTTTTTACTGGGATTTTCAAGACCGCATCGAGCCTCGACTTTTTTGTTTATTGTGTATCGATGAAAACTTTTTTATTTACTATTTTTTGTCTTTCGACGTCTTTTTTTTATTATTGATATTGATTGTAAAAGCAATGTATCATTTTGTCTTTTATTTATTAAAAATAAAATCTGTTCAGGCATAACTTTTACAAATGAGAATACTAATATCGTTGCTAAGTTCCTATTGTGTACAGCAATAATTAATAGAATATTGTTTAAGTAATTAATTCAAATTCATTTTGTAACAATACAAATCATTAAATTTATTATCCAATATTTTGGTAATTTGCAACAATGAAATTACTAAAGATTTACTTTACCATTCAACCACCAACGCACCTATACTTCATTTCCATTCTGGCATATTTAATTACCTTCCATACGTAACTGATCACCTCCCTATCATATTTCAGTTCCATCCATCCCCTCATTACCCTCCTTTAGTTTTTGTAAGAATTGTGAATTTCATATGAGTGCCTTTTACATAAAATTATAGCTAATACGTATAAGATTCGCCAAAATCGGCGAATTTGCTCGAAACGACTCAATAATCCTAAACGTATTTTATTTATTTTAAAGTACCAAGTTTATAAATAATATTTAAAATTTGCGCAACGCAAAAACAATACCAGCACGAGGATCACGTTGTACCTAGTAACAAAGTTTTCTGCGACATTATTTTTGTGAATTTCAATGCGACCAGGAAGTAGACTTATTTAGAAACGGATTGTGTGGGTTTCATGACGACAAACTGAAAATTGCGGGCGGGAATGACGCCAATTATATTAACGTGAGTGTATATCGTCGGCTAAATTCGTAAACCTTGTACCTCCATTAATGTGAATTTTTGAGTATGCACAAAAAACAGAGTTATTTCAAATAATTATATAACAATCTATGATTATTCTTTATTATAATCTATGATTTTTTATTACTAAAAAAGAGTCTATACCACATAGAGACCACATATAAATGTATAGACCACAGACATATGTCTAGATATATCGACTTATCCATAGGACAAAGACCTATATGCAAGACTGCTTATTTTCAGGACACTATACATTTCTATCGTTGTTCTTCGCTGTGGACATCAGATCGACCGTTGTTCGATTTTATATTTCCGCAACGAAATATCATATAAAAATTTTAGAAATACCTGTAGATTGGCCTTAGTCTGAATAGTGAGAATAAGTATTTATCCTCTTTTCGCTGTATAATCACATCGGACTGTGTTCTTCGGATGAGTCGATATGTCTGTGGTCTATACATTTATATTTTCTACTTAACAATTTAAGTAGGGCAATCCCTTTACGAGGTGTACGTCGTCACTAAACGAAATCGACAACTTCTAGAAATGGTGATTAAAGTGTTTGAAACATGAGTTTTGAAAAAGCGAGTTATTTTTATGTTACCAAGTGACTGGACGAACAAGTCGTGCAGTTAGTGGTAAGCGACACGCCTGTCTATAACAGAGCCACTCGTAGCTTTAAATCGCAATGATCTGAGGGGCACTGTCACTGCGCCTGTCACTCTGAGACATAGGTTGACAAGCTTAAGTGCCCGTATTTCACCAGCACCCTTACCCTTTCACTTTGATTCTAGATGAACACTACATCAGGTTTGTACAGTATATAATAAACAATGCCTTTAACTGCCTCCGTGACCGAACGGTTACCATGCCGGACTGCCACGCAGAGGTCTCAAGTTCGATTCCCGGGTCGGGAGAAATATTTGTATGGTCTACATTTATTTCTCTCGTGAGTTTGGGTGTAATTTGTGGTTGTCTATGTGTGTGTTCATGGCACAATATTATTAAATATTATATAATGGTTGGAAAAAGATGTTGCACGTATATAGATACATATATAGACCAGTGTTGGGCGTTAATCAATGAAATTTCAATCAATAATTCAATCAGATTAAAAAATCAATTCAATTGAAATCAATTGCAATTGATTTCAATTGAATTGATTTTAATTGCAAATAAATTTGCAATTAAAATCAATTCCGGCCGGTTAGGGGCCCCGGTTGGGAACCCCGCTTGGGGTCCCCGGTTGGGGTCCCCGCTTGGGGGCGCCGGTTGAGGTCCCCGGTTGGGGTCCCCGCTTGGGGGAAAGTAAATTAATATCACTAAATTACTAATACTACTCAAAAAGTATAATACTCAAAAAGTAAATTAATATCACTATTTGTTACAAGCTCCTCTGTTTAAAATAATTTTGACAAGACTCATTTTTTGTTTTTTAAGTATTTTTATACTGTATAATTTCACCAGGTAAGGAAGACTTGATAAAAATATTTGATTGTTATTAATTTTTGAAGTTTTGTAATAAAACATTACTATTGCATTATAACTTTTAGTTATATTATTATCATTGTTAGGTGAAAGTATTTATTACACTTATTACAGTTAAATCAACACAACTCTTAATAAACGTATAGTTTATGCTTACTGGTAGTATTAGAAACTGAAATGTGTTCCAAAGTATATTACTGAATTGATTGAAGTAATAATTAACCATCGATATAATATGACTTAATTTTTTCTTCTGGCATTTTTAATTTTAATAAACATTTTAATAAGAATTGTTCTTATTAAAAAAGACGCAACCGTAGTTACCTGCCAAAATAATAAATAAATAGCAAGCCAAATGTTAATTTAGAATAATGCATATATCCTTATTAATGATGTGTGTGTGTGTGTGTGTGTGTGTGTGTGTGTGTGTGTGTGTGTGT